ACAAGCCCAATAGTTCAAAAATTATTAAACTCTTCAGTGTCTAGGTATGTTTAGGATCGTTTTCGGCCAAACCTCGATGATCCCTTTCAGGTCCAAACGTTCGGTGCTTTCTGAACCTCCACGGTGGTCGTTCCTCCATGGTCGTTCCTCCCATCGAACCCCCCCTCCCGCCTCCTCCTCTTGGGCCGTGCTCTGCTCTCGCGCTGTGGCGGTGGTCTCGACGGAGGTTTCAGGCTCGGACCAATCCTCCTCCTCCTGTGGATGTTGGAACGTTTTCGTATGTTTTCGTGCCCCCTTTTTGTTTCATCGCCGCGACTCAAAGCAATGGCCGGGTGTGTGTGATTTTGATTGCAAATTACCGGCTTGAGTTGCGTGCTTCACCGCAAGGAGCATCTTTGAAGCAGGGGAAACCACCCAACCAGTCTATTAATTAGTCTATTGTTCCTACATCCCACCTACCTATAAGGAGTGGCAAGACCCCCACGCGAAAACGGACATTCGATTCTTGGACAGCCCATACGTGTCATATCACGTCATCAACATCTGTGCCCGATACAAAGAAGATGAAGATCCAAAAAAAAACACTGCAGCCACAAGAAATCGTTGTTAGACACGACCCACGGTGAGTGCCCTCAGAAAAAGCTCAAACGGGCGCCCTTCAGATTCGAACCTTTCGGGCCCAAAGCTCAAAAGCTCTCTCCCATCCCAAGAAGTGCCATCGCACTGGCGCGCTGCCTTTTTCTAGCCTGAAAGAGTGGGGAAAATCAGTCATAGGGAATGACCTGCTATACTATACATGACCAGGTTTCCGTGTCAGAGCTGGGGGTCAACATCCACCCCCTGGCCCAGAAACCATGGGAAACATACAAAACACAAAGATGAGGGACCCATCTGAACCCTCCAAGTTTAGGGAGGCGGGCGGGCCAAAAAAGAGTAAACACAAGAATCACCACAGCAGTGCGCAAAGCCGCCCAAAGACCACCATGGGTACACTGTTGTGACTAAGGGTGGTGAGAAACATTTCATCACCAAAGCAGGAACGGCGCAACGGCTTTCACATGAGAAACCTCACCATGCACCGGCACAAGAAGGGACTCAACCATAAAGATCATAAAGCCACAAATGGTAATTAGCATGAAAGCAGGAATGCCCTCAAGATTGAGAACCTAAGAGGCCAACAAAAGAGGGCAACACAAACTCAAGGACTCTTTGAGTTTGCGACATCTACATGGTCGTTCAACAAGGCGACATCTACAAGTAGATGTAAGCATCATCACCGACATACTTATAGAACATGCAACCCATGTGAACACATCGCAAGTTGTGAAAAAAAGCCTCACAAACCCCTACAGTACACGTTAATTGGTGAGGCCCACAAGATAAGTGAGCCCAGCTCCCAGCATGGGCACACCCCAGACTGTAGACGGGAGAGGGAACCATTTCCCCAATGGCACCCGCCTCACCGAGTTCGGAACGGGCGCAGCTTCTTTCCCAGGCATCCCACCGTTCGGCCCGTTCGACGTGATGCATCCAACTCGAACGGCGTGGAGATCCTCGGCGTGGAACACCTCATCCAAATCGACCAGCGATGCAAGCGCAGGGGTCCTGGGAGGCTGTGGTCGGCGCCAGCTCCCGAAGATCAAAGCCATTTTGGCCAATGACCATTCAAACTTAGTAACGCTCACGCAGGGGTAAACTACCTTATAAAGATACCTTTAGGATCCTTCAGGTATCCACTAGGCCCTATCCGTCACTTCTCTACTGGCGTCGTTCTCCCAGTTGAACATGACAGCTCTGAGTCCTATCTGTAGTGACTCGGATTTGCTTAAGGAAGCGGGGAATGACAAAACATTCGCCAGAAGGGGATTCACCGGAAGACCCTCTTCCCAGGCCCGATCTTGACTGGGCCGATACTGGCCAAAGCTAAAGCGCCCTCAACTGTTCAGGTGGTTTTTCAGAAGTTCGCTCCTCGGTGCTTTTTCACGACCGTTCACTCCCTGTTCTTGAAGCTTGCCAAGAAGCTTGCCAGGATGCTTTTGCCACTTGTTGGTACCATTGGCTCCAGGTCGTACGCGCTTGCTGACGGCCAACTGGCAGAGACCGTCCCAAAACCACCCTGAAACCACCGCAATGTGTAAATAACGCATACCTGGAGTGTCTAGACGATGCTGATTATACAGTTGCGTGTCTTGTTTCTGTGCGCATGCTCAAAGTTGTAGACATTAGGATTTCATACACAGTTCCACTAGTGGGGCAGGGTTGCAAACTGCAGATGAAGAATCATCATCTGCAGGTGACCTCTACAAGCGGCCTACCCAGTAGCATCACAACACACATGATAGGTTGAACGCTCTCCAACCGGCCGCGGGAGCCGCATCCTTCCCAAGCCAGTGCCGTGGTGTATGATGTGAGATGCATCCCGGAATGGACACACTATCGCTCTGGAACTGACCAACTAATTAGCACCTGCCAGAGCAGAAGTGACTAGTGGAATTGTTGTCCTACCCTGAAAGTCCCAGAAGGTCAGAAAAACTAGTTTTGGCTCGGACTCGGTATGGTCAATGTCCTTTTGTTGTGGGGAAGGCCCGTATTAGAGATCAACCCCGGACGGCGTTCGTCCAGGGAGCCTTGACCCGTTGCTCGGAGAAACGGACTCCCGTTCGAACCTCTGGAACATCCAGGCCGCATGCGAAGCTGTTGGAATGCCTAGAGCATTTGTGAGCTTCGGTTAAATCGTCAAATTTGTCAAACAAGGGCAAACCACGAGGTCTTCCTCGCTCTGCAAATGTAAAGACACGCAACCTACAAACTACTACTCGGTAGCAAGGTAAGATTGCCAATCGCAATCAGTCATTGCACTATATTGTAACATTGTGACATTGTGATTGTCACAGGCAAACCTATATCAGAGATGTTATTCCATAGATTGGTGATTGTCACAGGCAAACCTATGTCAGAGATGTTATTCCATAGATTGTCTATATATACTAAATAATACACAAAAAAAAATGTGTATCAACAAACCCGAAACTATCGCGAAAAGAAGCACTGTATATTTAACCAACCGTAACTTATCGTAACTTTACCTCTGGAACCCCTAAACAGGCAATACAACGCTATAATTGCAATGTAATCAGCTACCCCCCTGATCACTGATCCTCATCACAGGGCCTCTTTCCCCTTAATCCTTTCGGCATCTTCCCCTCCTCGGCATGCTGGGCACGGGCCGGGCCGATCTACGGGGGATTGGCCGATCTACTCGGGCTGAGCCGATCTCTGCGGGGCAAGCTGCCTGACCATCATGCGGGGCAAGCTGCTCCTGGAGTGATCTTGGGTACAATATGATTGCGGCAGTCCCACTGCCAACACACTGGTGAGACCTGAGAGTCAAACAGGATATCGAAGGCGGCCAACCGAGAGGAAAAGGCATGGAAAAGGGTCAGGAGGTTCGAGGTTGGAACTCTTCTGTTTGTTTCACATACCGTCGCTAAAGTGCAGTCGCATGTGGCTGACCATTCTTGTTCCATTGTTCGTACGTGAGTTTGTCCAAGAGGCATACTACACGGCGCGCGCAATCACGCCAAAAACATCCCGGCACCAAATCTCACTTCCTCACAGCAGATCTCATGTCCTTGCAACAAATCTCATAGTGAGTCGAAGTGGCGATAGTTGTCCTGTATATATATATAGATAGAGAGGAATGGAGTCTTTGGTGTAGATTGCTCGACATGAGTCGTAGTGTCAGTAGTGTCATGAAAGTTGGACTCGTCGCTACACAAATCTTACGCGCCACGGTATGGCTGTGTACCAGGACATGGCCAACTTCCAGACCACGTTGGGTAGTGTAGAGATCAAACCAAGAGACACAATGCAAGAAGCAGGATGTGCCACTTGTGCCTACAATGACATGCTCTCACTCCATGCCCACACCGTGCCCGAGAGGATCTTCTTCTTCAGAGACATCATCATCCGACCAATTGGAGACTTCCAGGTCCTGTGGCATGATCCTGTGGTTCGAAACCCTCATATTTTATATTATGTGAATTTATGTGACAGATATACCAAGTACTCCATGGTGGTTAAGTATTCCAATCCCATTGGTCGTGTCCTGGTCTGAGTTCTTGGACCGTTGGTGTGTCATCTCGGCAAGTCGGCAAGGGCTCGAAGCGTCGTTTCGGACTTCTGAGGATGAACCGAAACCGTTTTGGTCGGAGCCGCCTCAACTTGCCGTTCAGGCTCCGGCCTCAGCAATGGGACTTTGGGTACAAAGCAAAAAGAGTACGAGAGCGATAGAGAGAGAGAGAGGTAGAGAAAAAGAGAATAAAAAACAAAGGAAACATCTTAAAGAGTGACAATATCCTTTTCTTACTCTTGTTCTCATACTTATCTTATACATAATGTGTAATATTGTGTAATATTAAAAAACATATAACTTGGCCTGAGAACCCACGTCGGACACAACAAACGCAGCTTGGGAATCACCTTGTTTGCCACCAAAGCGGTGGCACAGCGGCGGCTGTGCCGCTCCCAACATTTTCCAACGGACACTGGGCATCCCCAACGTCGGCAGAAACGTCTTGGCCATCTGGCGGAGTGGATTCGGGGATTCTTCTGGGATTTTCGCATGCTGAAATTGTAGATGTGGACGTATGCTGTCAACAGTGCAGCATAGACTTGAAGGAACACGGGCCTGCATTAGCAAGCTGGAATGGTGCAGTAGTTACGAGTCCCAGCTGCAATGTCTTGTGATAGCATAGTGAATGTTTGTTCCTTGTGCCAAGTCAGCTTGTTGCCAACAAACAATGCAGAAAATCTTGCTTGGTGGCAAGGGGTGTCCATGATGGCAAGGGGTATCTCATTGGTGGCCCTTACAGCCGACAAACGCTAGTGTTGACGTCGACAGTCCAGGCATGTTTGATTAACCCTGACCCAAAGGGTTGCTGCAACCATGATGCTGAATGGTCGACTGAAGGTTGGTTCATGATGATATGGTCGTGGCTATGATATGGATATGATATAGTTAAGATATGTTAAGATTGGCTAGCCATGCAAACATGGTTACTTCCAACCTGATGAAACTCTACTTGGAGAAGTCATGGTTCTGATGATATCCATTCCTGCAAGAGATTCGCCAATGCGGGTCAGTGGACAAATTCTGTTCAACGAAGCAGTCCAAGGATCTGGTAAAAAACCCTGATCCAAACCTCCATATTTGGTTCCAAACACTTTGATGATATGATATGGAGACATATGGAGACTCCAGGTCTACCCTTCATACTCACAGTATTCTCACATGATGCCCTCATTGCTATCTATTTATCTATCCTCTTGATGATTCGAAAGGTAGACAAAATCCTCCGAAACGACCGCCAAAGATCGGCCCATCATCATACGGATCCTGCTTTCCAGCTCAGATCGTACGCAAACAAAAACACGGCTCGAACAAAAAGAACATATGCAAACCCCGGCTCAAATCCTGTGTTGATGGTGTTTTGTTTGTCTTTTTATGTCCTTTTGCTTTAGATTCAGCGGAATTCCTGGCAACAGGACAACACGGACTCCAAAAAACCCTGCCATCACCTGGATGGCTGGCGCTTTCTCTGCCGGCTGTGCCACGGGGGCGGCCTCCGGTCGATCCCATCCAGTTGTGGCCGGTGTTTGTGGTCCTTTATTCGGCTCCCTTATTTTTTTGAAAGTAATGGTGGGTGCCGAATAAAGGCGGAAAGACCGATCGCGGCACAACTCATGCGTCGAAAAAGTGGGAAAACATGTCGGTTCACATGAGTGTGTGCGTGTACGACACAACCTTTAGCCCGAGTCAGAGTTATATATTCGTCTGGGTTACGATCGTTTTCCACCAAGCTTCTAGCTAGAACAGAACTAATCTGGGGACCGTGTGTAACTTGAAGTACTTGTACTATAGTGAACCTTTGCCTATTCATGCACACAAATGTTCTAGTCGACTTTGTAAAACCCTGGAATAGAGACCAACAACACATATATTATAGTATACTAACAAACCAACTACCACCCCAAGTGAAGTTACGGAGGGTGTGTGGAGAAAGGGGGTCAGCAAAATCGCTTATACGAAGTTAGTGCATCAAAAAATACCTTCCACGAAGTTCTGCGAAGGTTTCTGGGATTTCGTTGCAGTCAGTTCTCCTACTGGCCCACCATTCCACGAACTGTCCACGAACAGCCTTGGGTTCTACGAAGGCCACGCGCCTTCCACGACGCGTAAAAGAATAGGTTTTTGCAAAACCCTTTCTGTGCACTACCCTTCCGTTTGCCTTTGACCAAGGTATACTTGTCGAAAACGAAATGCTCAAAAAGCAGGCCATGGTTTAGCCTTCACGCTGCCTGGAGTGAAACTTACGGTTTCAGTGACGCTGGCACCTCCGGAAGATGTCTGAGACAAATGGGGGTCCATCTAAACCAGCAAACTTGGGGTAGCTTGCGTCATCTGCTCCGAAAACTGAAAAAAGAATAGGAAAACACAAAGAACAAGGCCTTCTGGAAGGGCGGCGTCTCCCTCACTGGTAGAGACGTGACGCTCGTGGCCTGTGGCGGAACTCGCTGTGCGGAGTCTGAACTCGAACGGTCCTGGGTTGATGAAGCAGGGCATTGTCAACTGAAAAACGGTTTTCTGGGTGATGTTTTGCACGGGTAATGTGTGCTTACATGCTACTACTATTCTGACCGGGGATTAAACCAATAAATCCTGGCCAGCACGAATACCCACACAGACTGACAGTCAGGACATACTGTTTTGTTTTGTCAATGATACTGGGGTTCATGAGCATTCCAGCCGGAACACGTTTGATATGTCAATGTGACTTTCAACAAATTGATGACCCGGGCTTCGCCATTGAAAGACTTCCACAAAGCTCTCTTTTGACAAGGCCATTAGCCATTAGCTCAATAGCCCCAATGCCAACACTTTCAGAACGCTGTCCAGACCAGGTTTCTTATTCAGCTGGTGTACAGCCAGCAAGTGAAATTTTTCATGTCCGATTGGTCCGATTGTGTTGGCAGTGCAACGAAGCATGCGTGCAAGTCAGTCGTGTCGCTCTCTGCCAGCGTAGCCTGGCCTCGCTCCACGTTCTTCGGCGCACGGCTTCGTTGTCATCACTGGTCATCACTTCAACCGGATCACAAAAGAGTCATCACTCTGTTTTCGGAATGCTTCCAAAAGGGGTGACACCGCAACGAAAATGTGCACTCCAGGAAGCGAGGCATAACACAAAAACAAAACAATGTGTTTCTCCTAGGATGCGCCTATTTGAACCTTCAAACACCTTTAGGACTTAGATCGAAGCAGCCGCGTGGCGCCATTGACGGCAGCATGTTGCTCGGACTCTTGCTTGGTGTTTCTCATGATGCTCCATCGGACTCCATCTGTTTATTCACTTCTGCTCGGGCTCGTTCACCTTCGCTTCTTCAGGAACCGTGGAAAGCCGTGGACACCCTTAATATAGTCTTATAAGTGTATATGAGGGCTCGTGTGCTGTTACATGCTTCCATGCTTGACGCCAGGATAGCTGGACAAATCCGCCCCCCCAAACTCCAGCGATTTCGACTGGTCGATTTCTCGACCGAAATCACCTGCCTCCGGCGAAACTGCCTTGGGTTCTTCTGCCTTGGCAGGTCGCTTTCGGTGCACTCGGAGAGTGGCGGAAGACTCAGCAGGATTAATCAGTCACATTCACCAGATATTTCAAAAGGAGCGATTTCATGTTGGGGGTCCTCGCAAGGAGCGATGCATGTTTTGTCCACCTTTATTGAACCTGCAATCCCCACAACGATGGACCATGCATGACCATGCCCATGGCCATCCAAACCTCTGATTTTTGGTGGTTTTGGGATGTTTTGGGAGGATCTGAAGAGATCTGAAGGGAATCCGGTGGAAGGACGCACCAAAACCACCAGTTCTTCTGGTGGTTTTTAGCCGATTCTCAACGAAGAACCCACGCACCTCCGCGCATCGCCCACCTTCGGCTTGGCTTCCTTCTTCACCAACGGCAGCTTGGCGCTGTAGGCCATCCGGGACAGGTGCATCGACAAGCCCACCTTTTCCTGGTCTTGTTTGCGTGGAAAGAAAGATAAATAGAGAACAAACGCCGTGATTTCATCATATATTTGTAGTAATTAGGTATCTTGAGGGAAAACACACACACACACGCACTGTACATCTTCAAGATTCTTCAAGTATAAGAAACATATTGTGTTCAACAATGATCTGTGGTGCCTCAGACCAGTATGCTTTCTAAGGGATTTC